GCTCTTCGCGCTCTGCACCTGGGCGCTGCGCCGCGCGCGCGCCCGAATGGACCGATTACGACTGCGTGATGATCAGCACCAGGTACTCGGCGAGGCTGGCGACGCCCGCCCCGCCCGGCCGCAGCGCGATCTGCCCGGACCCGCCTGCGCCCGCCCCTGCGCCCTGCGAGGGGGGAAGGGGGGGCGACAGGAAGCGAGGGGGCTGCCTCCCTAGTTCCTTGCCCCTCTCTGCGGCCCTGGCCGGGGCTCTGGAAGACCCTGTCCTGGAGGGAGAGGGGAGCAGGGCGGAGGGCTGCCCGCGCTGGTCAGGATGGGGAGGGAAGCCTGCTACATATCTGCCAGCTGCCCTGGGGATCCGGAGCGCGGTGGCGGCCCTACCATTTTCCTCCCGGCGCTGGCAGCCTAGGGGACAGTCAGGTTCAGGAGTTTGGGCTCCGTGCTGGATTTAGAGCGCTCCACCCACCCCTTTTTTCTTTTCTGCCGCATCTTAGGGTGGTTTCTTCGGCGCAGGCTGTGTTGGCCACCGGGTCGGGGATCGCCATCATCCGCTCCTGTAAGAACGTGGTCTCCGACAGGTAACAACATCCAATGCCAGGTGAAAGAAGTACAGATATCAGCGCCGAACTTTTTCGAAGTTTGCACATTTTAGTGGCACACAGACACTACTTCTTTATGAGTACACGCTGTTGGATAGCCGGTTAATGGGAAAACTTGGGTGCCATAATTAGTTCCCACCTCCTCTCCTTACCTCTTTCTGCGGGCCACCTTAGGGGAAAGTAGACTGAAGAAATGCTAGAGAATGACAGAGTCTAAGCCTGATTTAAGGTAACATGTAAGAAGACGGTGTGGTCCATTGACCCAAGTTATTTATGAGATAGATACCTTTGGAAATGATTCAGAAGTGAGAGTGTGGCTTCTAGTTCTTTTAAGTCACCCCACTGGGGTCCTGCTCTGAAGCATTCATTGGCCAAGATATGTGCATTGTGGTTACCAGAGCCTTACAAATGCTGCTCTTTCTTGTCTCTCCTATGGATTTGCTCAAGGTGGTGAGGAGTTTTCAGGTGCTTTCAGAAAACTGACTTGTCTGTGTTAGAGCTCAGTCCAGAGGCACCAGGAAATGCGCATCTAGTGGACTGAATCATAAAGACTAGTTTGGTCTACTTTGTGTAGTATGTATGTAGACCTGGGCAATGGTGGTGTTTTGTTTTTGAAGCCTTTTTTTTTTTCACCTGTCTTCCTAGAACCACTCTTGCTTTCTCCCAGTTAAGTTGAAGAGCTACAGTCATTGTACAGGGAAAGTCTGACAGCAGAGTGTCCTCTTTTCACCTGTTGAGACTGCAGTAGGAGGAGAGCCTGAGTGGGGTCTCTGTCTCACTGGCCTGCAGATGGAGTGCCTGGATCTTACTTGGGATTAATGCTGCCATCATGATTTTTGTGCTTTTCTTGGTGATGAATTGTAGGTGCTGAGAGAAAACAGGTCAGGTGACTTTGATTGCATGTGCAAAGGACTGACAGCATTTGCTTAGCCGGGTTCGATTTTTATTTTAATCTAATCGAGCACTCTGTGATCACCTGGCAAGCTCCCTCACTGCCCCCACCCAGTTTGTCAGCTCAAACTTGAAACCAGCCTCTTTTGCAGAGATTAAGACAAATGTGGCTCAGCACTATCTTGAGCTGACAGGAGGGCAAGCAGCAGGCAACCAATACACATTTTAGAGAGATATTTTCGCAGACTTAACTTTCAGTTCTGTAGCACCACTGTTATGATTCCCCCTTCGAAACCGTGTGTTTTAGTGGTAAGAATCCTGAGTTTGATTTTCAGGTCCCTCCTTTTATGTATCTTTATGCCCCAGGGGTGAGGAAATGTCCAGCTTAAGGCCTGTGAAATAATTTAGTCTGCTCCTACCAAGGCATTAGGGGTGAGTTAATTAAATGTTTGACCAAATACAGCAGGCTACTTTTTAAGTTGATAATTTTGTATGCCCCGTGAATGTTATAAATATCCAAATGGCCCTTGGCAGAAACAAGGTTCCCCACCCCTACCTTAGATTTTTTGCTCCTAAAATGGAGACAGATACATTTCTGTGCCCGTTACCTTCACATGGATGCACAAGGATGCTCTAACTGCACCTAGATCATTTTAAAAAAAGGCCTTTTGGGGGCTCATATCCTATATACCCCAATATTTATTACATACCTTTTTACTTTATGCCTTGATGTAGACTGTCTATAAATAAGGGAGTATCTATAAATCTCCCCAATTTATATGCAGAATGTGGTATGGGGCCAAGTATTTCATTATTCTTAAAGAGGTCTACATCGCTAACTGGGCTGAGAGTCACAGCTCTAGGCAGTTTTCTCAATTTAAGCATCTATATTTGGACTAGAGACCCAGTGCATGAAATTCGTGCACGAGTAGGGTCCCTAGGCCTGGCTGGCAATCAGGCCCAATCTGTGGGGTGACTGGCAGGGCCCCTGCTGGCACCCACCTTGGCTGGCCTGGGGCCTGAAGGTTGAGGGCAGCTCCTGCATTGAGCATCTTCTCCCTGGTGGTCAGTGCGTGTCATAGCCAGCGGTCGGTCTGCCATTCAGTCGATTTGCATATTAGGCTTTTATTATATAGGATAGTATTTTTTACGTTTAAAAGGATTTTCACATTTTTAGTTTTTTTTTAATTTTTACAATAACCTTGTCAGGGAAGTAGGACAAGGATTGTTATTGTCATTTTTATAAAGAAAGCTAAGTCCCAGGCTAGAGGTAATTATTATTACAATCTAGATCTCTTACAAATAAGTCTTGAGAGAATTCTACCAAGCAGCCACAATTTCAGATCTTATTGAATTGGTACTGTGTGCAAAATATTAAAACCCTAGGTCCACTCATGGGGAGAGGCCAGTTATATTTCAGATCAGCTTTTAATAGCTCTTTATAGTTATTTAACTTAGAATTGCTTTAAGGATGCAATGGAGACCATAGACAGGCAGCAGAATAAATAAATATTGCATCTTTTTGCCTAAATGGAATTCGGCTAATTAATTCACCTGCATATATGTTATATTTTCTATCCTTACTTGTTTGCCTGTTTCATTGTTTATTTCATTATTGAGTTATGCTGTGGTAAGTGTGGAATCATTAGGTAATGGTACATATACCATTAAGAGTCTTTGGGGTAGGGCGTTAACAAGCACTGCAGGTGATTCTGATGTTCAGGTAGTTTGAAAACCATAAAACTAAATTGTCTCTTCTTGGTATTTAGTGAATCTAATCCTTCCCAGCATAGGATATAATTTCAGTTTATATGTTTTTTATCCACATCAGTTTTCTGTAGAATTATGACTTATCATTTGGGAACAAAATTGTAGAAATTATAGACTTCCCTTCTAATTTTCTCTAGGACAATGATAAACTATCATTTTGACACAGCAAATATTGATTCAACCCCTTTGGGGAAGTAAATGGGAACAGTGTCTTTTCTCCCAGTTTCTCTTTGGTTATCTGACTGCTGTAAGGTAGTCCTTGAGCTCCGGGCTCATAACCAGACATATTTTTCTTAATGAGTGGAACTGGAATTAGCCATAGAATTGTAAAGAATATGGCCATGGTTGCTTGCCAGCAACTCCCTCGAGTGAGGTTACAAGCAGATGCAAGAGGAAACTCCCAACTGTTGAGCAACGAGTGGAGTTAAACTGGAAATATTGGATTGGGATTCGGGACACCTTCCAAACCAGTTTCTTGGTGGGGCTGTTGAATCATTGGTAGAGATATCTATATCAAAGTCAGCTTATATCACAAAATGCCAGAAAATCCATTACAAATGAGTAGCTAAACCAGGCAAATAGTGACAGCTAGTCACTTAAACACATGGTGCTTTCTGCTTTCGACACAAATTTTCTCTGTAATTTAGAAAAAGTTGTTCACCCTATCAACTTCATCATCCTATCCTATAAAATAAAAGCATAATATGTAAATCGACCAAACGGCAGAATGACCAGCGGAATAACCGGTCACTATGACACACATTGACCACCAGGGGGCAGATTCTCAATGCAGGAGCTGCCCCCAGCCCGTAGGCCCCAGGCCAGCCAAGGCAGGTGCCAGCAGGGGGGACCGCCCCCAATTGCCCCGCCGGTTGCCCTACAGATTGGCCCTGATTGCCGGCCAGGCCTAGGGACCCTACCCGTGCATGAATTTCGTGCACTGGGCCTCTAGTATTCATTATAAAGTATTTGGAGCAAAGACATATAAAGAAATGTGTTTGAGGTTGGCTTTAAGCCACCTTCATAATTGATATTCACAATTATTTCATGGACCACTTATATGCTTTCTTTCAGGCACTGGCTTGCCCAAGAATATGTCTGGTTTTTGATTCCATATATGGTCTACGACATCTACGCCATGTACCTTTGTGACTGGTACCGAATCAAAGAACAGAACCGCAGACACTCCCTCATCATTTTTCGAAACTTCCTAAGTAAAAACCGCCTCATGATCACGCACCATGTGGCCATTCTGTTGGTCCTTGTGCCAATTGCACAGGTATCAGCTGCCTTGGTCACTCATTTCTCCTGTTGATCTGGGTATCATGACCAATACTTAGGAGTCAGGATTGCTCCTCTTTTCCTTCACTTTCCTACTTCACCTGTTCTTGTATGCCAGCTGCTTCTGCAGTTAAATCCCCAGATTAATCATGTAGAGATGTGATCCTCCTTGCCAGCAATCCCCCAGCCCTTTATGATTCCTTAGTCTTTGCCAAAGGTTCTGTCTTTAGTTTATACAATATAAAGACAATATAAAATACAACATAAGAATTTTTAAAAATGAGACCAGTTATTTGCTCAGTCAACTGGTTATTTGCTCTAACAGTGCCAGAGAGTACTGTGTGTATTATTATTTATGTTACAAAAGCAAGTTCTGAAAGCAAATAGCCGCATAATTTTTCCCTGGATCCATTTTTCCCATCCAAACTTCACCGAACAAGGAAGAAATGGGAATGCAGAGAGGAAATTAGTATTTTTCAGTGCCCGCCAAGTGATAGGCACTTGATTTAAAAGCTCATAGCTTTCTGCTAATAATTAGAAATGATCAGGAATAATTAGAAATAACATTATAAATTGTTAGCCCTATACCATGTGTGCGGCCCACCAGCCGCGAGTTTGACATGCTTGAATTGGGGCTCTAAGAGTTGATGTAGATCACTCTGGTACTACTTGAGCTGCTAGTCTATGCTATACTACTTTCCTGAAAAGATATACAGGTACCATGTACTACATTCTTTAAGAAGTCTCCCCAACATCTAGCACAAGGTTCTGACACATATTTTGTTGAACTGACTTGGCTAAGTGCCCTTGGCATGACTAAGTTAGAAACCCAAAAGTAGGCTGCAGAGTTCCTTCCGGCTGACATGGAAATTCTGAGAAAGCTTGGTGTGTGATGCAATCAGCTATCAGAAGTTGCCTCTGGATCCTAGCAATTCGACCATCAAAGTTCCATTGCTACGGAAGCAGCAGAGTATTAAATGGGTCTACACTTGTCCATGTAGCATTTCCCTTTCCCTTCATGGTCTGTCATGGTCTTTTTCAGCAGCCCTAGAATTTCCTTCCAGTGGTTCCTTAACCTGCATATCATATTTCCCTGTTTCGTCTTCTCACCTGCAGAGGTTTAGGGGAGAGCTGGGGGACTTCTTCGTTGGCTGCATCTTCACGGCAGAACTGAGCACTCCATTTGTGTCGCTGGGCAAAATTCTGATTCAGGCACGTATGAATGAAATGGCAGAAACAGTGCCGGGCGGGGGGGAGAGGGGGGTACAGACTCTGTTTTTCCTTGGTAGATTGTGAGGTTTAGAGAAATCCCTTAATGCTAGGAATAGTGGAATAGGAGACCCTTGAACAGACTTAAAGGTCAATTGGTCTTCCAAGCCAGTGGGGACAAAATTCTAAGTTTGATTCAAATTTGATAGTCCTTCATGTACTTTTCCCCAGGCCATAGATTTTCTCTCATCCTGTGTTCCTATCAGCTGGGGTGGCTTAGGTCGAATTCAGCATCAAGGCTAAAACACCTACAAGGCTATATGCACATACAAATATGGCCATGCCCAATCAACTTTTCCAAGTGTCAGAAAGCTAGAAGCCTGAACTTTACTACGGTGGGACTTGAGCTAGTCATTTCCTGAAGGCCCAACCTCTTCGTGACTCTGCATTCTCCTTCCCTCTTTTGCAGCTAAAGAAGCAGCACACCCTTCTGTACAAGGTGAACGGAATCCTCACGCTGACCACCTTCTTTTCCTGTCGGATCCTTCTTTTCCTCTTCATGTATTGGTCCTATGCCAAACAGAAGGACATAAGCCTGTTCCAAGTGCCATTCAGGATCCCTGTCTTCTGCAATGTGGCCAATGCCTTCCTCATCGCTCCCCAGCTCTACTGGTTCTCTCTGCTGTGCAAGAAGGCAGTCGGGCTCTTTGACACTCCCCCAGCCGAAAAGGATGGATAAGTGCTCCCAGGAGTCAGGCAGTGAGGGTGCCTCTTCATACTAGCTGCCTCTTTCACTCAGTATTCCACGGACCAAATTGTGCCCTGGATGGCCTCAGCCTTTTGGGTATTGATAAGTAGATGGGTATTGAGTTTTTCTAAAGAATATTCGTATTACCTCCCACTTCTAACCTGCCCCTTTTGCAAAAGCACTTTTTGTAATAACTATTGGATCCTGTCAGACCTCCATTGGCAGCAAGGTGGTTTTGCCCAATGATCCTTCCTTGGGTCTTATCTCAAGGGCTCTGGGAGGTAGAAGCATGGGGTGTGGAGACAGGTGGACCAGGATAAGTCCCTGGGCACCTAACTGGCCCTAATATTGGTGGCTACCCACCTTTCCAAACACTCAGGGCAATATCCACATATACTGGGCCAGCAGAAAGTGATGACTTGGTTCTTGAAATAATTTCTTATGTTGGCCTGGGGAAACCATTGTGGGTAGGTAGCTTTTCATTGTTTACTAGATAATCCACTGCCTCATCCATGTGCCAACATTGAATTCTTGTCATCTGACTTCCAATCAGAAGTCTCATTAGTGAGGGTCGGCGTGGCAGGAGGCAGGGATGGGAACCTGAAGCGCTTGAGGAGGTAAAAGAGGTCTGCATCTTTGCAGGCTGACTGTAAGATCAGTGTCAAAGTTGTGAGTTTGTTGTCAACAGTCACAAATACCGTTCCCTTTTTGGCATGTCCTTCCCAGCCCAGCTTTCCCCATATCCACACACACACAGGATGCTCTTGTTAAAAACTATAGTGGTAGAGTGAAAAGATGGCTACCAAGCTATTTATTAGTAACCCCACTCTTTGACACTGTCTTTTTCACATGAAGTGGAAATGGAGTTCTATATTCCAAACCATGAGAAGTCGCATCTAGACTGCCTCCTAACAGAGCTTGTGGCCAAAAGCCTGTTCCCATTGAGTGCACCACCATTTAGCCACAGAAGGCTGGAGAGCAAGAGTGCAAGACAGCCCTGGCCAAAATATGTCCTGTGAACTGACTCCTTCACTACCATTTGCAAATGGGATTCTCTGGTGCCAACACTAATCATTCCTTATCAACTAGGATGGGTCTTAGAAACTGCTACCATGAATTTTTTTTCAGGTGGTAGTGAGAAGCTAGGTTTTAAAAAGTGCCTTTTGATTCATTGTTGTCCATTAACTTTTAAAGTACTGCATATGTACCAGTGACTCAAATGTTGACTATTTCAGTCTTTAATGGGTGCCATTTTAAAAATGCAAAATGATATATTTTTTTTTACTGGTTTGTTCACTGTCAGTGTATCTTGCATAAATCACCCCTGTGGTGATTAAATTGCACTAATATTTCCCAACTTACTCTCATTTGTGAAATATATCAATACCGACTTCCTGTAAGACCCATCCATGACCTGACTTGGCTGGCTGCTGTGTGGTATTGTTTCTGGTCTGTGTTCATATCCATGTAACTCGCAAAGCTGGGGGGTTGAGGGGAGGGGAATGTGTTAGTGCTTTCAGCCTCCAGGAAGGCCTACCTCAAACCTTACTCTAACACTGTTTCTGATTCATGGTTCCTGTATACTAAGCATGTCAAACTCTCAGCCTGCGGCCCACATGCCTCATTTATTTGGCCTGTGTTAGCCTTTGAGTTTGACATGTTTGCTGTACACTGTAGGGTCCCAGAGTTCAAGCCTAGTGGTCATGTAATTTTAGGCCCTTTTTTCTTTCTAGGTGAATTTCAATTAGGAGTTGGGAGGGTAGAAACCCAATTGTAGGCCACAGAGCTAGCCCACTTCAGGTGGGGGAGGGAACCTGAATAAGGCCCCATTTTGAAAGAGGGCCTGGGTGTGAAGGAGGTATTGGGATATCTCCTTTTCCCTTTCTTGCCTCCCAAATTAAATGTCTCAGCAACCAGCACTCATAGTTCTGTAAAATGCCCTGCACACCTTAAATTTGTATTTTTATGCTTCTGTAGACACCATTCCCTGCTCCCCCTCATTTTTCAAAACTGTGACAATATACTCCAAGCAGAAGGTAATTACACTCGTCCTTTAAACACATTCTGCCGTTTACCAGACCTAGTTTTAGTACAGCCCTTCTGGATACACTGAATTGATGGCGTTAAGGCTGTAGAGCAGAAGTCCTCAATTCAGAAGCCATCCATTTTCTTTAGGTCCTTAATCTACCCCCAGCACTAAAGTTTCTTGGTCCAACCTTCTTCTTTTATAGTGCTGCTGGCCTTTGGGCACACAAATCACCTGGCCAACTGGTAGAAGAATAGAGTTATTTTCTTAATTGCTACCTTTTCCAAAAGACCACAAAATGACCCAAAGAGGGTTTCAGTGCAAAAGAACACACACACCTTATAATTTTTCCACTTGGGTATTTCACCTTTGAACTTACTAAAGTTTAGGATGGAGAAGTCCAATTATGAACTTTCCTCGCAGCCTGATCTTTAAGACTCTAGCTGAACCCATATTTAAGCCTAAACTATTGATGAGAAAGACTCAAGAGATAAGACAGACCTCAAAATGAGATTATAATTTGTTACAAATACCCAAGAAACTATTTTCTTTACATTGTTATTGCCATATACTTTTTAGCTTGTTTACAACTTCACATAACTGAAGAGTTTTTTTGTTTCTCGGCTCTAGCCCCTATAGACCCCACCCTCATCAGCTGTTGTCTGATCCACAAAGGTCAGAAGTTGCTGATCTTCTGCAGCAGGGTCTGGCGCCGCTCCTCGGGGCTAATGTTCTTGGCAATGGACTTTAAAAAGTGCTGCTCATTTACCTTCTGGAGTAAGGCGCTGATAGAAGGGTTGGTCTTGCTCAGGGTTTCATAGCAGGTGAGGATTTCCAAGGCCAAAACGTAGAGTGGTTCACACACCTCTTGGTGGAGCATGGCCATGATGTGCAAAACATGACAGAATACCTGAGTATAAAAAAATAGGGCTTCCTGGGTCAGGTCCTGTTCTTCTCCTTGGGCCCAAGGGCCAACTGACCGTATCAACCTAACTGAGTCCAGGAGGCTGGTCAGACTGCTACAGAGAAGTTTGACCACATGGCTCCAGCCTTCCATAGGAAGCCAGTTGCGACAACTCTGGCTGCAAAGAAACTGGAAAGCTCTCAGGAGGAGAACAGAGAGTTGGAGCTCCTGGGCCAAGGGCTTCAGGTTGAGCAGAGGAACAAACTGAATATATTCCAGGCTATAAGGGACATGTAGGAGTTGTTTCTCCAACAGTCTCCTGGTCAACTGGAAAAGGTACTGCCACTCCTGGGTACTGCACCAAGGCATGACTTGCACCAGGGCTACCAGAAAGCCCTTGCTGAACAATCTGACCTCCTCAGGGTTGTCCACACCCACCACTAAGAGGGAGAGCATCCGCTCGGAGATGCTCCTGGAGAGGCAGCAGCACTCCATCCAGGCAAGGAGCCCTGTGCCGGGCCCATACCCAGGGTGGGCCTGGGAGGTCCACTCATCCTCAGAAAGCTTACAGATCTCAAAAAGTGTGGCTGGCACCTCACACTTGAAGTGGCCCTCAAAGAAGTTCTTCAGTCTCAGGTTCACAGTCCAGTCTAGCTGCTCCAACTTCCGGTGGAGCCAGGACAGGGACTTGATCCAGGTGTCTGGGGAGAAGGTCTCGGCATTTGCTAATACGATCTCACAGAGGAGCTCCAGGATATGGACCACCATATCCTTCCCATCCAAAGAGAGGCAGCGCTTCTCCTTGGGGAGCTGCCAGTATTTACTGAAGCAGTCCAGGAGCTGGCACAAGCTGAAGATGAGGGGAAACGGAGAGCAGGTTTGGAGCCAGTATTCCTCTAAGCAGGCATTTACTTCGAGGGTCTGAATAAAGATCTTCAGACTGAGGTCCACCTCTTCAACATCTAGCATCAAGAAAGGCAGGACGAATTCCCTGAGAACCTCATCTGGCTCAAGAAGGGCCGCAACTGGAATCCCCTGGGGCTTCACGGGACTCATCAGGCATCTCAGGAGCTCCAAAAACTGCTTTTCTTCCTTGGGTGTAGAGAACTTTGTCCAGACGGTTTCTCTGAGGCATGACACGACGAACGTGGTGGACGGGTTTGGACCCTGCTCTTCCGTGAACCTGAGGGCGGGGAAGGCGGTGAGAATCTGAGCCAGGAACTTGTGGGTACCGAGATTGACCACAGCCATGCTGCACATTTTCTTCACGGTGATCTCTGGGTGCAGTATCACCAGGCGGGCCACAGAAGCTACAGCCTTAGCCAAGCCCTGTTCGGAAGCACTCTGTGCAAGCTGGTTAAAGGTCATGTTGAGGTCTTCCTGAAACCCCTCCAAGTAAGCCAACAACTTCTCAGAGAGGCCCTTTCGTCCCCAGGCAACCAGGACACCTGCGAGGACTTTATTTTTATCTGGCAGCGAGAGGCCTGCGTAACATTCCAGGATCAAGTCAATCACTTGTTTGATCTGAGATTCAGGGATGGCTCTGTCTGTCGTGCTGACTTCCACCACAGTTTCCAGCAGCTTTAATACCAAATCTGGCTCTCGGAAGAGAGACTGGTTATTAACCAGGCAGGCAAGCCACTCATCTGAGAAGGCCCACTTCTTCTCAGAAGCAAAAATGTAGCACATTTCCATATGCCGATCCATCTTTTGCTCAATAATGGCCATGGCAATCGAGGCAGTAATGTCTTTCTCCAAGCCCTTGTTGAGTACCTTGTTCGTTTTCCTCAGGAAATCCCCGACGCACTCTGCCAGTTCAGAAACCACCTGCCTCTCCTCCTTGGATAAGCTGGTGGTACCCAGGTAAAGCTTCAAGTTCTGGCTGAAAGAAGTCAGACTGTCACACAGCCGGTAACTGTCATAATTTGTCCCGTGGGTGCTATTGAGCATGGCCTGCAGCTCCTCCCCCCACTCCCGCAGAAGACTGCGCATGAAGTCAAATCCGGCAAAAATCGTTTCATTCGGGAGTCTGGCCAGCGAGCTCAGGTTGACATCCCGTTCTGCCTCCTTTACCTTCTCTGCCAGTGCCTGCTGGTGATATGGGTTCTGGGTGTCCGAATTCCACACGGAGATCACCGTGGCCAGTTTGTCTAGATACACATGTGCAGACACTTCCTGAGGGTCATCCTCCATCAGTGCAAACACGGTCAGCATATCAGCCAAATTGGCTAATGCGCAGCACTTCATCCCAGGGCCCAAGATTCTATTTTGGATTTGCTTCAGCCCAGTGAGCAGCATGGCCAACAAAGGCATGGTAGGACACACATCAGGGTCTGACTTGAACCTCTTTGGAGGGTGGGAGAACTCATCTGAAGAGGATAAGTACTTATTAGCCATTGTCCTAAACTGAGAGAGCAGGGGGTCCTGCTGATTGTCCTTGTGCTTCATCATTTCCCACCAGACATCGAGGAAGAAGGCCACATCCTTTGAAGAAGTATCAATAGCCATGTGCTCCAAAAAGCGCTCTAGTTCTGCACGGCAGATGGTGGTAGGGAGGGCCATCAGGAGCTGGATAAAGAGTCCAGAAGCTTCCAGGGACTTGAGCAGCTCAAAAAGAACCGTGTGATTGATGGTAGGGATCATGTTGCCTACTGAGAAGAACACATCTTCCTGCCACCGAGTTTCAGTGTCGGAAGGGGTAACGGGGTAGGGCTGAAGAACCTTGGCCCAGATGATGACCAGAGCTTTCCTCTTCCAGGCAAAGGACTGGGAGCATGCTGTGGCGGAGATTTCCCTCAAGGCCTCCACAATGGGCCGCCCAACATGCTCCCAGTCAGACTTTGTCAATTCTGCCAGTGCTTTGGGGTGAAACAGCTGCTCGGCCAGCAAAAAACCCCCATGCAAAATAGTCATTTCTTCACAGATATTCAAGGGTCCTGCACGGAGAGAAGCCGAATAAGATAGAGTGTGGTGACAAATTTCAAAATAGTAAGCAGAGGTTAGAAGGAAAGATAGCAGTTGGTAGGCTGGCTGTTGGGATCAGGGTTAGAGATAAAAGTTCTAAATAGGATCAGTGGGAGAGGGGGAAGAAAGCAGTGATTCTAGGAGCCACTGCAGAGTTGGAGTAAAAAGGACTTACCTGAGGAATAGAAAAGGACTCCCAAACTCTAGCTTGGAACTGGGAAGACAACAGGCACCATTGGAGATAGGGACACAGAAGACTCAGAACAGGTTTGGAGGGAACCTGTTAAGTTTTGGTTATTTGGAGTTTGAGGTAGAAATTAAGGAAGAAATGCCCTCCAGCAATGGAAATGCAAGGCTGAAGCTCAGGAGGAAAGTCAGAGGGGATCAATGGAACCAATGAAGTGAGATCTCGCAGGAAAAGCATTTGAAAAGGAAAAGCTGGGCTACAGAGGCTAGACCAGTGATGGCAAACCTATAACACGCGTGTCAGAGGTGACACGTGAACTCATTTTTTTGGTTGATTTTTCTTTGTTAAATGGCATTTAAATATATAAAATAAATATCAAAAATATGTCTTTGTTTTACTACGGTTGCAAATATCAAAAAAATTTCTATATGTGACACGGCACCAGAGTTAAGTTAGGGTTTTTCAAAATGCTGATACGCCGAGCTCAAAAGGACCCTCCAGCAAAAGATGGGCCAGCAGAGGATTTGGGGAAGATGGGTTTAGAGAGAAAGCACAATGACAGTTTCAAACTACAGGGACCACAAAATATATATTGCAGGACATGAAACTGAGCTTATAAATTATGATACAAATTAAAAGGCACATGGCCCAGGGCTGTGGGCATAGAAGCAGACAAACCCTACCTTCCCCCTTTTCTCTCATGGCCTTGCCCTGCAAACAGATTTCCACTGTTCTGCCTTTCAGGGAAACAATTCATCCCATGGCTTCTTCCAACAAGAACAGCTACTCATGGCCCTGGTTCTCTGGTAGAAACCAAGGGGTAGATAGAAAAAATAATGCACTACATTAAGTTCTCCCTTCAGTGACCCACAGACTTATCAGTGAACTGACACATATTTATCAAGGAAGGCATCTTGGTCTGTTTAATCAGACATGAGTTTAGCTCAGCCATTTAAAAGCAGTCATCTTGGACAGATGACTTCTCTGAGCATCCCTTCTGTATATGTGGGGATAATACAAACTTCATATAATGATCATGAAGATCCAATGATATATACTATCAAGCTCCTGGCACTGGGTTGGTGCTTACTGTTAGCTCCTGATCCCACCTCCCAGAGATAGTGAGAGTTAAACAAGATATAGCTACAAAAAGAATCAGGATTCAAAGAGCCTGATGAAGTGCTCAATACATGCTGTTTTTCCCCAAACCTTTCTACTGTTGACAAGAACAGAATCTTGTCACTATTCTTGGCCTCCCTGAACTCAGAAACATGAAAAGACAGATCTTTCTCAGGTGTCTCCTTTGGCCCAGAAACTAAGTCAGATCCCAAATACTGCAAACACGGTCAGCATATCAGCCAAATTGTCTCTCCCCTTTCCCAGGACCCAGAGATGCCCCCCCTTTCTCAGTCCTTCATATCCCCAAGAACCCATCTTCCCAGACTCCTGATTCCAGCAGATTAGAGTATCCTGCTCCTTGGACCATTTATGGGAGCAGCAAAAAGGCCAAGAGCTCAATCAGCACTCCTATGCAGATCCTGGGGAAGGCAATCCACCAGGCTCCAGTGGCCGAGGCCAACTCCCACGGAGGGTTAGGTTGCTCAGGGAGCTCTGGACCTTCTTTCTAGCTCAGGCCACTGTCCAAGGCACCAACATATGTTCCCTACGATTCTGTAAAATGAATGTTATTGCGCTATCAGTTCAGCTGAGATGTCTGGCCTCTAACAGCTATTTTCCAGAGAGACTCAAGTATAAGTCCCAGGAGCAGTTAAAAGCTGGGCAATTCCCCAGTGTTTTGTCACTACTGGTTAATGGTGCTTCTGAGTGCCTGCTCCTTTATATGTACTGAGTGCTGCTTGTGCCAGGTGGCACTCACGTAAGGTCTCTGTAAGTCTTCATGTCAACCTTTTGAGGACCATGTTACTCCTGTTTTAGAGACGGGAACATGGAGACTCAGAAGCCATTTGCTCAGGAGAGCGCAACTACAAAGCTGATGGGCAGACTCACCACAGCTGTAAGGCTCCGGGGGAGATGGGTGCCAGAACGCTAGGCCTCCCCACCACCGCCTGCCATGCACAACTTGAGCGCTTTTTGGAGCACATGGCTACTGATACAAAGTGAAGAGCTGGCTGGGGCCAAGGACCAGAACTTTTCTCCACGGGCCCAGTATTGCTGGCACCCCTTGGGGTGCCTCCCCCAGCTCCCCCAGAGCCATCTCCTAGTCCTATCCCCTTAGGAGCATGTCCAGAAGGGTAAAAAGCTGGGCCAGGAGCCGCTGGTTTATACCAGCTCCCCCCTCCCTTCTTCCAAACTTTGCCTCAGGATTCTGAATCAAGGCGCACGTGCACTCTGCAGCCACAACCCTCCCCACAATCGCTAGTCTGATGACCGCCAGCTCCGTGCAAGGCGCTGCACCGGGCGCTGTATACACGTGATCTCCAGGAAAACTCCCCCAAACTCTGCAGTGGATACATTATCATCTCCGTTTTACTAGATCTACGAGGACCTCCTGAGCCTAAGTCACTTGCTAAAGAACTCATCATTCAACCGAGACCGTCGGGCACCCGGGATCCCCCCGAGCGTCCTCCCAGCCCGGCAACTTCCAAATCACCTGCACGCACCCACTTTACTTTCGGGAAATCTTCCCTTCACAGCCGTTTGGCGCTTCACGTGGAAAGGGCCCCAAGGCCCAAAAGCGGCGCGGCCGGGGCTGGAGCCGGGTCTCCCGACCCCCGGTCTCCAAGGAACCCCCTGCTCTCCAAAACCCCCCCCAACCCGGGGTCTCCCTCAGCCCGGGCCGCTCGGCACCGCCCTGGTCGCCGCGGCGGGAGGTGGCCCAGGCGGGCTCGGGGAAGGGGAGCCAGGACACCCACCTAAGTCCATGGCGGCGTCGCGGGCGCAATGCGGCGATTATAAACCTCTGCATGTAAACTGTGAAGTGACAAACAAACTGTGATTGCTGCGAGCGCCTGCTCCATTCTCAGGGTCGGGAAGCACACCTGTGGAACTTGGCTCTGAAGGTGCACAGAGGGATGCCTTTGGGAGCCATGAGGTGACAGCTCC